AGAGCAGGGAATATGGGGAGAGCAGTCAGATAAAACCAGGCAAATTCACAGGGGCACTTCTTAAATAACAACATGGAGCATATGGATTAAGGAAGACTCTAGGGGCTGTTCTTTTGACACTTTTATCAATGTGTAGAATCCTCTGTGATCAGTTATTTAAAATCTGTTGTAAACATGAAATATAATAAAAGAACAAAAGGAAGAAACATTAATTTGGCTGACAAAAATTAGGATCTCAGGATATTATCCCAGGATAGTAGGTAAGAGTTTGACTTGTGGTCTCAGACCATGTTTGGAATCTAGTTTTGACATTCTTAATATGACCTTGGACAAGTTTCTTAATCCTCTCCAAGCCAGGTGTCAAAGAGAAGAAGGATGTAGTCACAGGCCGTCTGCTACTTCAAGTTATATATGGTTTCTTTGCTGGGCCAGGAAACTCTCCTGGCAGCTTTTCAAGAAGGTTTATTTTTGTACATTGCTCAGCTTCTGACAGAATTATTTGTTTGTAGGTCAAATAGGCCCTTACATTTATTTTGCTTATAACACTGATAAACAATGAAATTCTCTATTCAAAGGATTGAGAAATTTAGCATATCCAAATTCTAGAAAATAATTTTAGCCTTCTAGCTCTATTATTATCACTAGGGAAGAAATTGCTAAAAGCTAAGGCAATATTTTAAAGTTACAATTTACAAATTTATATTATCCACAAGGTTGTAGCTACTATAACAAAATATTTCTTTATTCTTCTAATGTTATTAAAATTCAGTACTATCTCAATTATACCCAAGGGCACATAAAAATAGTTATAAAATTAGGTGACAAAGTTTTAAAGTATTACTGTTTGATTTTCTTAAAGTTTCTTAAAGGGGTTAAGACCAGTAAAATAAATTTAAAATAATTTGTCCTTTGAAATAAAATCAGTAAAGGGTAGGGCTAGTGCATAATTATATGCGTTTCAAGGCAGATGGGAAGAGATGAAACCATTGAATACAATGACAGGCTTATGTCATTAATCAACAAAAACCTAAACTCTTGGGTTTTTAGTTAGAAAGGGATATCCAGTAACTACCTGGAGAAAGAAATGTTAGGTAGCACTGCTCTATGCTTCTAAATGTAGCATTACTAAATAATAAAAATTCTATGCAGCTTTTACACTAAACTGAGAAGTGAGAAAAACTGTATCAATCGTATCAGCATTTGGAGGGGTAACTCCTCACAAAATCTTATTTTGCAAACTTTCTCAGCATTTGTGTCAAATAAAAACATTTTTGATGTTTTAGATTTGACCTGTTTTTCCCTATGTAAGTATGGCTAGGGAATGACGTCTTCCTTGAACATGCACTTAAAGACATTATCTATGTTTTATCTAAAAACAGGACATTTTATATGGTTTGTTTTACTTAAAAACAGGACATATTATTTGTGAGATACAGCTTGACTTTATGATTTGCTTACACTTGGAGAAACTGTGACATATTTAACTAGAAATCTGCCAGGGCAGCAAACAACTTGCTTTTCTTTATTCAAAATTGTGCTGTTTTTCTTCTGTAACTTTTCTGCGATCAGTTTAATTCCAGAGCTTAGTCTGATGTAGACTTCCTGACTCCCTTCTTTCCTGGTTGTCATTTATCCCTTGTCTGCTGATGTAATTTCTTTCTTTTTGAGTTGTGCGTTGGATATTTGAAATAGGGTCTCGTTAACTATTTGCAGGGGCTGGTCTCAAACCATGATCCTCCTGATCGCTGCCTCCTGAGTAGCTAGGATTACAGGCATGAGCCACCAGACCTGGCTTGCTGGAGTAATTTCTAATTCTTCCTCAAGAACCCAGTCCACACTATTCCATCCAGCATATTCAAATGCTATAACCAACAGCAAAGGAGGATTCTCCCACCCAATCCTGTCCCTTTTCATTTGCTCCCTACCACTGCCTGCCACATCTTCTGCTAAATCAAACTCCTAGACTAGCCTCTTGTGATGAGGCAAATCCACTACCTTTTCCCAAATCAGTGACTCCACATGTCACTTGTTATTCCTTACCTCAAGTGAAACCAGTTTTTTGTATTGTGTATTTTTATATTCATTATACATTTATATAGTGTACCCCCCTCTCCCAGTTTATAAACTCAGCGAGGTGACTCATCTTCCACTGAAATTTTATTTTAAAAGGACCCCCAGCCCTTCACATTTATTCTAATCATGGAAGGGCCTGCCCATGACCTTGGTGACCTAGGTGCACACTGACTCAGGTGAAGAGCCTCACTTGGAGGGTGCTGAGTATAGTCTCTAAAAGTGACTCAAGCCTTTAAATTCTTACTATCATCTAACTGTATATTTTATTAAATTCATCTTTTAACTATTAAAAATGCATAGAAAAGTAGCGGAACTACAACAAATGTTTATTTATAGCAATTACCTCTAGAATATTACAAAATAGGCCTTGGGAGGGACAGGAGAGAGGTGGCACAGAAGATGCTAGCTTGGACCTTTGAGGTTACTGATTCTTCCGAATCTTTGGTCCTTTATAAATGATCAAATAATGAACTTGAATTTATCCTATAAAAATTAATGCTGATAACCAAATTTGACACGAACAGCATGACAACCAAATCCAATACAGATAAATTTAAAATTCAATGCAAAGTTTATGATTTCAGGATTACAAACATTTTTATTTATTGGTACTGGGTTTTAACTCAGGGCCTCTCACTTGCTAGGCAGGCACTCTTACTGCTTGAGTCACTCCGCCATCCCTTTTTCATGAAGTTTTTTTCCATAGGGTCTCCTGAACTGTTTGCCTGGGGCTGGCTTTGAACCATGATCCTCCTGACCTCTACCTCCTGAATAGCTAGGATTACAGGTGTGAGCCACCAGCACCTTGCTGATTTAAAACTTTTCCAAAGGCAAATACTCTATGGAAAATTGGTAACTTTAGGGGGGAAAAATCTAATAATATAGAACACTGAATTAACAAAGAATAAATGTTTCCACAATTACTTCCCCCAAAGAAATCATCTAATGCAAAAACCCATTGCCATCCTGTCCTATATTCTTAAATACTATGTCTCCAATGTTTTATTTTTTCCCCTAAACTATGTTCAGACACCCAATTGCCTGTTCAATCTCAAGACTCCACATATCAGGCAGGATTCAATTTATGTGTTTGTTTTTGAGTGTTGCTGTTTAATCCAGGTTGGCCTGAAACTTGTGATCCCTCTGCCTCAGTTTTTTGAGTGCTGGGATTACAGTAATGTACCATGCTTATACCAAAAGTTGGACTTTTTTCTCTTCTTCACATCCATCACCAAATCCTGTCAGTGCTGCCATTAAGCTACACCCTGAACCTGACTTCTCTGCATGACTGCCACCCTTGATGACTACCAGTTTCGCCTTGGTGACTACCTTCCCTCTCGTCCCACTCCACCCATTCTCCACATTATCAGAGGAATATAAAAGCAGGCCATGTCATTCCCTTCTTTAAAACCCTCCAATGGTTCCCCATCATTTTCAGGAGAAAATCTAAATTCCTTACTATGAGCTCCTGGCCCTCAATGTTCAAGATCTTATCTATCCCAGAACCTCATTGCCTATCATCTCATTTTACTGGCACTTTCTTTCTCAGCTTAACTCACTGCTGCTTTGGGGATTTGGGCTTTATTTTCTCTTCATCTAGAATGTTCTATTCTTTGATCTTAGTGCAATCTTATCATCATTCAAAGTTGCTATTCCCCAGTGATCCTGTAAGATTATGCTTAACTCCCCTATCACCATACTCTACCTCATTTTGTTTAGTTTCCGAGATTTTGTGTTTCATGTCTTATCAACTAAAATGTATTAAGCTCCAGAAGGTAGTAGTTTTGTCTTGTACACAGTGTACAGCCAGTGCCTAAAATGGTGATCGCCACATAGGCCTTCAGTGCACATTTGTTGAATGAATGGCTGAAGTCTAAACATTCAATCAAGATTCCTAGGCATGAAAACAGCTGCCTCAACTCATCCAAACCTTGCAAAGCCCAACCTCACCCCCCCCAAAAAACCCAACTACTTCCCACAAAAATCCCAATTCAAATCTCAATGGAACATACTATTTTTAAAAAGCCTGTGTTCTGTATCAGCTGTTGTAAGAAATTTGAAAACAAAACCTGAGCCTCTCACAGTGTTTTTATACCCATGCACCAAGCAGCATTGCTCTCTTTGGAGACTTTTCATTTTAAGTCAGCCCTCTGGGTGTAATTTTATGGAGATCCATCTGAGTAAAGGTCCATGTACCAGGGTAGAGTAAGTGAAGGTACTGGTGACCTTCCTGTATTAGCACACTCTCTGAGATGGACCTGGCTGTCTTCCTTAGACTTGCTCTGGGGCTCTTTGCTTCTACCACAAAGCATTTTTTGTCATTTGCTTAAAAAAAAAATAAAAAAAAGATTTAGGATCAGTCTTAATAAAGCTTACCAGATTAGTGTTTAGTGCCAGAGAGCAAAGGAATTAGCAACCAGATCAAAATGTCAAATAAAAAAGTTCATAAACGTTAGATTTTGTCAAAATGAAGCTTGGAATTCAAGTATCAGTTTTTATGGTTCAAGTCATTAACTTCCTAAATGACTGTAAGAGCACAGACTGCATTGTGGAGAATGATTTGGGTTCGATTTTTTTTTTTGTCTTAGAAGTGTAAATTTAATTATGACTTAATAATTATAATAAAAGCTGTTTATTATTATTTTTTAACTGTCTGGCCAGCAAAGAAAATGCTGATGAATTCTTTTTCTCTGTAAAGTGACTGTATTGCAAATAAGACTACAGTGGCAAGGTTAAACTTTAGGAGCAGATAATAAAATCTGAGTGGTGAAAGAATATTCCTCAGGTTTTGCCTACAGGACAAAGCCTCTAAATGATTTAAAATCAGTTGGCAGTATTACTATCTTAAGTAACATTACATCACAAGTATATAAATGTGCATACATATGCATACATAAATACACATATGTATACATATATGGAGAAAGAGGGAGATAGAAGGAGAAAGAGGGAGGAGGGAGAGAGGGGAGAGGGAAAGGTAGAGGGGTGTGTGTATGAAAATGATAGTGGTTATGAATCAAAGTGACTTCTCCTTGAGCTAATTATTTCACTACGAAGATGTCCCATCTTCTAAAGCATTTCCTGGTTTGTAATAAAATGCACTTCAAAAAAATACCATTAAAATCACAAATTTAGTTGACGGCTACAATGGACTCAGAAAAAGACACACTGAATATAGACTTAGATGCACTTTCATGCTGGTGATTTTTCTTTTTTAAAATGTAAGCCACTAATATTTTAAGAAAAAAATTTAAACCAAAAGTTGCATATTAATATTATACACAAACTGAAACAAAAGTGACTTTTAGCAGTGTACACATGCTTACATAAACTCAAAAGTTACACATTTAAAACAATTTGCATTTAACATAGGAAAGTTGCAAAATACATAAAAGCATTAATACTTTCTAAAAAACTACACTTAGAACATCAATTTGCAACAAACACATAAAAACATCAAGTGCTTTCTTGGAGTTTCAAGTTACCTCTTCACCACACCGTCTTACTTGCATATGTAGTCCTTCTCCAAGAATCGGTGCGGACTGTTTTTTCAAGAGGTTTATTTCCCAGGTACATTATAAGCACAAGAAAACGGACCCAATAATTATGCAATATAATTATGTCATAACAACTTAATTGCACATAATACTTTAAAGTAGGTTTGGATGAAGTTCTCAAACACTTGGTATATATTTCTTGAGGGACTTCTAATAGAAATAACAGAAATTCTAAGTCCCTTAAATCCCCATTTTGCAGTAAAATGGACAAGTCTTTGGTTAAAGGTCTACATTTTGGGCATTTATTTTCAATTAAAATGGTCCCCAAACTAATAAATGGTGACTTGAACAAGTAAGTTCACGAGACTTCATTTTACTTGTTTCTGATGCAGCTGAATGCTATAAATGCTCATTTACTGTAATATGTTATTGACAGTTTCAATCTTTTCACTTATGAGCAGAGAAATCAATAGGTTTTTAATTTCTCTGTGAATTTTCTGTTGCAATCTAAACTGTACAGTAATTTGCAGTGACTATAGATACTGTGACACAGTATATATGATTAGGATTAGAAAGGTGGAGAGCTCTAAACTGAAAGTTAGCTTATTCTGATAAGTCAGTATTAGACTGTAGGTAAATCTGCATTAACTAGAGTAGGTTGTCAGGTAATGCTAAATTAAAAACCCCAAACCATTCCACGTACAAGAGAAATTGTTGCAAATGTATAAAACAGCAGATATACAACAACACCAAACATACTTTATTAGCACAAAAAAGCAGCCATAACAAGGCACAGCAAGCAGAAACATACATTAGCAGTCAAAGGGCTATTAGTGTTGCATACAAATATAGCTTTTCTTTTTTGTAGCCTTGGAAATAGCCATAGGGATATAAAATAACCTGTACCAGCTGGTATGGAAACTAAGGAGCACTCACCAGCAGTACAGAGCACATTAACAAAAAGATAGGAGAATGGAATTGGCTACTGTAGTGCAAATGTCTAGGACAGAACTGAAAATTCAGTTCAATACTAAGAAGCAACACTAGAACTTGATAATACTTCCCAAAGCGCTCACTCAAGTTGTATTACGTACTATTCTAAGTGACAAAAAGGTGCTAGGTAAAGTTATTTACAGATACAATGCTTGTACAGTACCTTTGAAATCTGCAATTTAGGTTTCATATTTTTCATTAAGAATTAACTGCACTGAAGTGCTATAAATTATACTTAAGCAATTTAGCTATGAGAGCTTACAACAAAGAGATAAACACTGCCATCCAAATCATTAATTATAGTTTAACAATAATCTCAACATCAGCAACCACTGTAGTTACTATTATCTGACTTATCTAGGCATCATCTAGTCTCATTTTTGTCATGGCTCACAAGCTCATCATGGGCATAGGAAAAGATCCAACTTTAGTGAAACCATGTTTAGACTGCACATGTCAGCTTTAAAAAAGTCACACACCTGACTACAATTGCAGCAGCGATTTCAAATGCAAGTTTAAAGTTGAAGCACTCATTAAAAAATTAATACCAAGGGCCTTTAAATAAAATGAGACTTCTAACTTTGTAAGTCTGAAATTTCTTTAAGAATGACTTTAGAAAACCTGGTTTACTTAACAGTTCCTTTTGCAGAAGAGAAAAGGAGACTGACTATAAACTACATCAACACTTAAGTGAACTGCACTATGCCCGTGTGGCCAGAAAACTGCATTTTTTTGAAAAGGCAGTCTTTTACTTATTTATTTGGATGTCCAAAGCTTGATTTATTGTAACTACAAACATCACTACTCTTGTAAGGTTATAGAAAAATTCTTAGAAAAAATAATTTCAAACATTAGTCACACTGTTGAAATACTCATCCAATATTAATAATTTGTTCTTCAGTAAGAAATAGAATTCTTCATAGCAAATGCCCCAGCTGCCTCACTCAATTACTACACCAAATTACTACAAAACCAAACTGGTAGCTAACCTGGCAAGTGTTCTCCTAGCCTCACTGTACACCTGGAGCTCTATCCGGGTGTTTCAAATAGGCACCATGTTTGAGTAACAGCAGATCCCATATGACAGAGGTTAATAACTAAACATACTGTGTGAAAAATCCTAGCACTGACACTGTGCTCCCTATAGGTGTGCTGTCTGATGCACATGAAAGCAGACGTAGTGAATGCCTTTTGGGACAGGAGAGTTTACTTTGCCTTGACTGGTTCTCTCTCTAACCAGCGAACCCTAACTTTTTGTTTATAATGATATTCTTTTAAAAAATCTTGTAACATTGATGGCAGCGGGAGCCCATCGATCCCATCATACGTCGTGCACCTGCAGATTACTGCACGGCAGATATACTGCAGGCTGAAAGGAAAAGTTCTGTTCAGTGATATAGTAAGCAATGGTTCAAAAAACATGCAAGAACTGGGGTCTTTATAATGTTCTAGAAGTCCTGTTACAGTGGAGGAGTGGAACACACACGGGTCGTGGGCATCAAAACTAAAGTTGTGATTCCACTGCTCAATTCGGGCATGTAGGGATCTGTTGTAGCGGCGGAAGCTCACGGAGAAGAGGTAGTCCTCTTGCGCAGAGTCCCTGAGCAAAAATGTGCCTTCTGGTTTCCCTTCAAGAAGGGCTTCTGCTTCATAACGGTCCATCACTCCCCAGTAACAGGGATTCCCTGTGATCTGAAGCAAATCTGGCACAAGGCAGTGTATGTAATCGATCTGCGTATGGACTTTCCAAGCTCCCTGTCTGCTAACGTGGGCATGGCTGTCTCCAGACACCTGGCGCTGCTTCTGCCTCCGTGACTGCAAACATAGGGTGGTTGTGTCCTCTTCTGAGTCACAATTAACTTGTGGAACTGCAGAACTGTCCCCACTTATTTCTGTCATTCCAGGAGCTAACTTTGGTCCCAGTTTATATAATGGATTCACCTGTGCAGTAGCTTCGAATGTATGTATCTGTGCATTGGGAGGGGGATCGACCCCTTCTTCAATACTGAGCCGCCTTCTCTCTCGAAGCCTATCTTCTTCATCTTCTGTAGACACCAAAGATGGATCAAATGTATCAAAAAATGTTGAATGTGGGCTCACAGGAGCTGTATGCTGTTTAATCAAATGCCATTTCTGGGCTAAATCTGAGCCAGCAGGAAAAGGGCATTTCTCCAGCATCAATTCAGAAAGATGTATTTTTCTCTTATTGGAAAAGAGTGGCTTCGACTGCCTGCTATAAGTTCTCATGGGGAAACATAAGCCTACAGTGTCTTGCAACCTCTGTCTCAGAGAGCGACTCCCCACAGCTCTGCTGGAAACACTGTCCATGTCATGCACAGAACTGACTCCATAGCGTCTTTCTCGTCTTTGAAGTCCACTTCGAGTTCTACCAAACTTTTTGTCAGTATCCAGTGAACTTTGGGTCTTTGTGGAACAGGAATGTTTTTTCTTCCCACCCCATGGGGCATGTCTAGAGTAGGAATCTCTTCGTGAGAGTCTTGCTCCTGGGGTCACACAGGAGTCACTATCCTTCTCAATGCTTATCTCAACAATCTGAGGGATTTCAGTGGCACAATTTTGGTTTCTCCTTGAAGAATTCTTTGAAGGGCTTAATCCCAGTTGTAAGGCAACATTTTCTCGTAAGGGACTGCTTTGTTGCTGAGGAGATGAGTCTCCCAGACTGATGCTTTTCTCTTTGACAGCCAAACATCTGTTGGAGTTCATGTCCACACTTTGGCTGCGGCTTCCTCCCTCGTGACTGAAGAGATTCTGACACCTGTATTTGAAGTTATTCCACATTTTCCCCACTTTATCCATTGATTATGAGATCTAAAGACAAAATACAAAAAGGAGAAACATAAGTTACTCAAAGTGGCATATGAGGCTGGAAAAGGCAGTGCAGAACTGCAGAGGCAAGTCAAGCTACGCCACACACTGCCTGCTCAACTTGTGAGGCAAGCGTCCTCTATGGCCTGTCGGGCACTGACCTTATTCAGTGAGTGCTCATTTCCCTCTGCCTTTCAGACAAAGCACTCACAACTCTAGTTATAGGAACAATCCCTCTGAATTAACTGCTTTCTTTTCCCAGGCATCACCCTATTTTCATTATTCCACAGATTTTTGTTTCTTTACTTCAAGTAACTGAAATACCACCTCAAGTATTTCAAATGGAAAATATGTATTATTGAAACATGTCTGTATTTGATTTTTCAAAAGTTGTAATAATCAGGTTTACAACTGTATAACAACTTAAAATGAGTTCAAAAACCCTTAATACTTAGGTTTAAATAGCTTCCCAATTATTAATCTCAGAAGAGTGAAAATAGAATAATAAAAAAGTTCTAATATTGTATTAATTTGCAAACAAAGGCAAAAAATGCATTTTCATTGGCATTTTTATTCATTATTATTTTATTGGCATTTTTATTCTTGCTCCTTAAAAAAAAAAAACCAAAAAAAAAAAAAAACGCTAAAGGCTGGATATATGGCTCAAGTGGTAGAGCACATGCTTAGTAAGCACAAGGGACCCTGAGTTCAAACCCCAGGTTCACCAAAAAACAAACCAAACCAGAACTCTAAAGCAGTTTACAGCACTTTACAAAAAAAAAATTTGTTTGAAGACTACATCAGGCACACTGTCTCATTCAGCAACCAGAAAGTCAACATAAAATGGAAAAAAAATCTAAACTTAGAATTCAACTGGTTTTGTCATATGATAGCAGAGAACATTTTTTTAAAAGGTGTCTTTCAACCATTTGATCCAGCAATACCACTCTTGGGGATATACCCAAAAGACTGTGACACAGGTTACTCCAGAGGCACCTGCACACCCATGTTTATTGCAGCACTATTCACAATAGCCAAGTTATGGAAACAGCCAAGATGCCCCACTACTGACGAATGGATTAAGAAAATGTGGTACTTATACACAATGGAATTTTATGCAGCCATGAAGAAGAACAAAATGTTATCATTCGCTGGTAAATGGATGGAATTGGAGAACATCATTCTGAGTGAGGTTAGCCTGGCCCAAAAGACCAAAAATCGTATGTTCTCCCTCATATGTGGACATTAGATCAAGGGCAAACACAACAATGGGATTGGACTTTGAGCACATGCTAAAAGCGAGAGCACACAAGGGAGGGGTGAGGATAGGTAAGACACCTAAAAAATTAGCTAGCATTTGTTGCCCTTAATGCAGAGAAACTAAAGCAGATACCTTAAAAGCAACTGAGGCCAATAGGTAAAGGGAAACAGGAACTAGAGAAAAGGTGAGATCAAAAAGAATTAACCTAGAAGGTAACACACACACACAGGAAATCAATGTGAGTCAACTCCCTGTATAGCTATCCTTATCTCAACCAGCAAAAACCCTTGTTCCTTCTTATTATTGCTTATACTCTCTCTACAAAAAAATTAGAAATAAGGGCAAAATAGTTTCTGCCGGGTATTGAGGGGGTTGGGGGGGAGAGGGAGGGGGTGGAGTGGGTGGTAAGGGATGGGGTGGGGGCAGGGGGGAGAAATGACCCAAGCCTTGTATGCACATATGAATAATAAAAGAAAAAAAAAAGGTGTCTTTCAAAATTTTGTCATTTAGTAAGTACAGCATTTTTAACTTTTTCATAATTGTTTGTTCATATATATATATATATTTGTATATATATATATATATATATATTTTTTTTTTCCTTTTTGGTGGTACCGGGCTTGAGCTCAGGGCCTCACGCTAGCAAGGCAGGCACTCTACCACTTGAGCCACTCTGCCAGCTCATATTTATTGTTTTGTTGTGTACTATCAGTGTTTTACAGTTCAGCATCAGTACTGGAAAATGACTTTAGTATGGTTTCTTATGGTGATAAGAGAAAGCTTGTTTCTAATAGTGGTGAGAGTGCTGATATTTTTGTAGTTGTGATTAATTCTGTCATAAATACTTGCATTCTAGAAGTTGACTAGAGTTAAGAGAAAAATGGAGAATAAACTCTTCTTCCCTTTTTTTTTGTGTTGGTACTGGGGTTTAAACTCAGGGCTAGGCAGGTGCTATTAATGCTTGAGCCACTCTGCCAACTCAAGGATAAACTTTCTTAAAATGAATTATGTCTTCCTATTAGTTTCTTAGAGAAAGGGCTCCTGGACTACCAGTGCTCTTGGACTAATGACAGTAACAACATAGAGAACATATTTCTGCGCTATCAAGAAAGGAACTTTCAGATGACTTATCCTGTATTAAAAACATACTGTTAGGTACAAAGGAAGTTTGCCTGGACGCTGCTATGTTCAAATGAAATCTGTTAAATGGAACTGTTCACTCATTAAATTTACAACATTGACGTGTTCTCCACTGTAATACATTATCCACCGACTTCATAATATGGAAGATGATAGGTTTTTAACTTTTTAAAGCCATACCATCAACATGTATTTTTCCTTATCTCTCTTCCTTAAACAGTTGAAAGTACATTTTTTGGTTAAATTGTTTTCATTGTGACCATGTGAATACTGAACAGAGTTAAGTTTAATCCCATACCAATTCTCAATCTTCTGCATGTGACCTGTTTTTATTTTCTGAAAAACTAGCTGCTTCACTCCTTTTCATTCACTGTCCTCTTTACTGCTCCTTCTGTCCTCCTTTCCTTTTTAGTCTTTTTCATTAGACAATACAACTCTTTCATTGATCTTTTAATTATTTTCTATTTTCTTTTTCATTTTGTATTTTTTTTCCTTTTCTGTTTTCTGGTAATTTTTTTTTTTTTTTTAGCTTCAGTCTCCAGCACTTCTATTGCAGGTATAGTGTTTCCTATCACAATTTTAATTTCCAAGACCATTTTCTTGTTTGCTGAATATTCCTCTTAATAGCATCCCATTCTAATTTCTTAGATGCAATATCTCATTTCTCTGGGAATACACACTTCAAAAATGTTTTCTTTCTTTTAACACTTTAAGTATTTTTATCTTTTCTTCCCAGCACCATTTTTTTCCCCCTTGAATCTTTAAGATCTCTGTATTGCATTTAAGAGCCTTTAGACAAAAGATAAAAGAACAAAAAATAGAGCCTTTAGACAAGTATCTGATGCTTCCTGGCTGTCCATTAGCACTACAATGTTGATTAGAAGCTGTCTGCATGGGTGGGGTTTACTAACTGGTTGGCTTTACTACAAGATGATGAAGCAATGAGTTGGTTTTTACATTGGGAGATTCCCCCAAAGTTAGTATCTATAAACTTTGTCTTCTGAGCGGTTAATTACCTCAAAGAGGAATGTTGCAATCTCCTGTCTAGGTCATACATACTTGACTGCCATGCCATGTTGCAAGAACAGGAGAACTGGGACCCAAGTTTTATTTGCAAATTCAGACTTTTACTTAGTCCTTAATCCTTTTGGTTTTTCAAAACATATCCCAACTTCAGCTATGACCAAATCTCTCAGATTAAATTTCTCCAAGCTCCAAACCTTTAATTTTATCCACAGTAAAGGAACAATGGTTTCCTGGCTGCTACAGTATAAAGGAGAATAAGACATATGGGAGACTGATACATACAGATTTTCAGCCATTCCTGTCCTTACCTTTGAGGGAACTGGCACCAGATTCATGGACCATGCTTTGAGTAGCTCTGGTCTAGAGCTGTGCTGTCAATCTATGTGGCTACTATCTGTATGGTTTGTGCCACATACTAAAATAGTAGTAGTTTGCATATAAATTGTTGAATGTACTGTTAAAACTAGTTTCACCTCCTTTTTACTTTTTACATGTGGCTAGTTGAAAATTTTAAATTACATTGTTAATTCAGATATTTCTACTGAATGGCTCAAGCAAACTATAGCTTGAGAGACAAATCTGGGCTGTGGACAGTTTTTGTATGGACTGGAGCTAAGAATGGCTTTTATATTTTTAAGGGGACTGAAACAAACAAAACTCCCACAAAAAACATTTGACAGAGACTGCATAGCCTAAAATATTTCTTCACTGGCTCTTTTCAGAAAAACTTTGCTGATGATCCTAGTCTACAGTAGTATGTAAGACAATAAACTCTACATCATACTTGATATGAGAAGAACTAATCCAAAAGTCTGTCTTCTCTGTGTGTTTGGGATACATTTGTTGTTTTCTATAGATATTTTTCTGATGACCAAATTATACCTGAAAATATGACTGTTTTAGAAAATAACCGAACCTAAAAGCACACATCTTATACATCTCTGCATAAGCTGTATGAACAAGCAGAACATGCAGAAAACATCTGAACTTGCCAGGGCACAGAGGCAGTTTCTAACACTGAAGTCTTGGTTCTGCCCCACAGATAAGAGCATGCAATTTAGTTATTTCTCTCTTCCTATTGTGGAGATTATTACCAGATTGCATTGAGATAAAATATTCAAATTTAAGAAAGCTATTATGCTTCCACACTCCTTGGGGAAAGAAAGTGGATTTTTCTTGACACGGGAATGCTATGTGGGCAGCTATAACACTGGGAAACAAAAAATGCTGACAGTGATTCATGGAATATTAGTTCAAGAAGGCATTCCAACTATCTTAATATTTACAATGTCACATTTGAGGTTATTTTGTTGTTAAATTTTTGGACATGTATTTAGGATAGAGCTGAAATCCTCTGAGATCTAAATTACAACTTTATTACTTTATAGTTTTCTATAAAGTTACAGGACTTTAAAAAGTGTTAAATGTCTATTGTACTGCCTCTAAAATGAAGGTTCATAATCTACTGCGATCTTTCACATTTCTACACATGCTTAGCTATATTTCAAAGCAAATTTTTATTTTATTTTATTTTTTATTCATATGTGCATACAATGTTTGGGTCATTTCTCCCCCC